TTAATGTTATAAAAGCACTCTCACTAAAAATCCATTTTTTCCATCCTCTAACAGTGGTTCCCAACATTGGGTAACCCAGGTGTTCTTAGACTGCAACTCCCAGAAACTTGCTGGCTGTAGTTTCTGGGAGTTGTAGTCCAAGAACAACTGGGTTGCCCAAAGTTAGGAACTAATGCTCTAGAAAATGGTTTTCATGTCATTAATTTTAAGAGTCTTGAATTCATAGAAAAAAAAATATGGTAGGGTCATACTTACGTACAGAAAAGTTGTGAGTGATATACGTTGTTGGATTGTAACTTCCATCAACCCCAGGCCATTATCCCTTGCCTTCCACCATGAATGGCAAGGGATAATGGGACTTGAAGTTCATCTGGAGAGGTGATATACGTTGTTGGATTGTAACTTCCATCAACCCCAGGCCATTATCCCTTGCCTTCCACCATGAATGGCAAGGGATAATGGGACTTGAAGCTCATGCATTGCTTATTCCTACACTAAAAGTGACAATGGAATGCTTAAACAGCTTGTTAATTGTGTGTTTTTAACACTACTTCATTTTGTTTATAGCAACATGAAGCTGAAATTCAGCAGTTGTCTGAAGCATTGAAAGAAAAAACAAAGGAAAACAAAAGGCTTAAATCATCTTTTGAAACTCTGAAGGAATTGAATGACAACTTGAAAAAACAGGCAAGCACAATTTTCCTAAACTCATGTGTTTGGCATATTGAACACATGAGCACATATCTGTTTGAGTGTGCACATGATTACATTCTCCAAGGCAGCACCATATGCGGCCCAGAAACCTGAGAGAGAGAGAAATTATGATTCTAAATGTCCTGATCACTTTATGTTCTCATTCATACTAAGACAGAGAAACCAGTATTTAAGATTCGTCTAAATACCTTGTTTCCTTTTTAGTTAAATGATGTCAGTGAACAAAACAAGAAGTTAGAGATCCAGTCTCGAAAAGTACAAGCTCGTTTAGAGAATTTGCAGGTAAGATTTAATTAAGCTTCTAATGTGTGAGCTTGGCAAGAAAAAAATCCTAATGCAACTTTTCTCCAATCTATCCCATTCCAGAGGAAACATGAATTTTTATCAATACAGAGATGTAGAGAAGTTCCCCACATCATCCCGGATCATAAACCTGTCAAATCAGGAAAAGCAGTCGCCCAATCAAAACCTCAAAAGGTTGGTGCATGTGGTCTGCAGAAACCATGATTCCAGTTCAGAGGTTCAACAGCATTGTATTGTGAAGCTGGCCACTTTAGTGGAGATGGCAGCTGTACTACTCAAGGAGATGGTGGGGTGAGGAGAGTAATTACGTTTAATTTGGATGGTAGGATTAAAGGGAATAAACCTTAGTCATTTTTATTTATTATATTAATATTCATTATATGAGAACTGTTAGTACATGGTTGGTAGTACAACAGAAAATATCACACCCTCAATTAATCTGGAATTAGAACTGTTGAACTTCTCTTATGGAGACACAGATGGTGATTGGCTGCAACAGAAGAGAAGATATTGATTTTTCAACGAAGGGAAAGGCGTTACAGTACAGTGGTGCTTTGCAAGACGAACGCCTTGCGGGATGAAAAACCCACAAGACAAATGATTTTTGCAATCACTGTGGTGCCTCGCAAGACGGCTTCTATGGCCGTGCTTCACAAGACTTTTTTTTTCCGCAAGACGAAAATTTCGCAAGATAGCGCTACTTGCAGAACGAATTACTTCCGTTTTGTGAGGCACCACTGTAAAGGAGACAAAGTTCTGCACCAGAAGGAACAGCATTTTCAGAATGTTTTGACCATGCATGCCAAGTTGAAGAAACTTTCCTTCAAAACACAGAGCAGCACCATCCACAGGCAAAATTCCATATGTTTTCATTGTGGGCACTGCAAGCCAGATAATTGTTGTGTTTCAACAGATATACCGCCCCATAGTGCTAGAGTACTCTTTGGGCAGTTTACAACATAATTATGCAATTAACACTTTGCCTGTCAACAAACTGGTTATTCAATTTACGGACCTTGGAAAGATGGAAGGCTGAGTCATCCTTGAGCTGGCTACCTGAACCCCTTGAGACTGAACTCAGTTTGTGAACAGAGGCTTGACTACAGTACTGCAGTTTAACTACTTGCTGTAGTGTGTGTTGCATTGCAGATTCACAAGTCAGTGAACATTATTAATGCAAGAAAGATCTTCCTAGTATAAGTCCTGAGATACTTCCTTTAACGTTTGTAGATGATGTTTAATTCATACACCTATGACCTTTTAACGGTACTAATGGACTGGATCTCAGATCAGCACCTCAGCAAATTGGTTCTAGAAGAAGAGAAGGAAGATGTTCGCAAGTTAACAGGCACATCTGCTTCCAACAGAACCTACACACAAGAAAAGTGTATCAAGGTAGGGATATTACTTCTTTTTAAGAATAAGGTTCTGTGTTTCATATCTTGTGAGTGTCATATTTGTATGTCTAATAATATGGGGACTGCCTACTGTATTTCCAAAGCTAAGATTTAGTGACATTTGGTTAAAAGCCATTGCAGTCTGAGAAATATTCTTTATCAGACACCTACATTCCAAGAGTTTGTTCAACTGTAACCAGTTTTTTTCTGTTTTAACTGAATTAGTCTAGCTGCACTGAAGATTTCATTAATTGGCCTGCATGGTAAATGTAAATAGCCCGACTCAACCGTCAGCAGGCTTATGAGTTTCAGGAGAGACTACTTGCTCAGGATAGCATCCCCATTCCCTTATGCTGGTGTTACCATGTTAGCAACCTTGTATGATCCCAGTATCCAAGCTGTCTTTGGCCCTGCAAAGACAACTTGGATGCAGATACCAATTGCAGTTGATAAAACATGCGTAAACGTGGTAGAAAACTAGTCCACATGTACACATGATTAAAGTACTGCTCTAGCAGTTCACGAGCCTGCTGCTTCTTGTTTTAGGTAACTGCTTAAAGAAGTTACAAAGCTCATGTGCTAATAGGAGCTGTTGCTGGCATGTTATCCTTTATTCACACCTTGGCACTGCAAAGGCACCTGGCATGAGCAGTACTCACTATCTGGGCCTGATTGTGTTTTTTCCTTCCCTAGTTGTAGTTTGGAACATCACCCAACCAATCACGATTATGTAAGTTCTCCCATTTATTGCTTCTGCCAGCGATGTGTTTCCGAAGAGCCATTCATTAATTCTCATGCGAAGAAGTATTAAGTCTTTGATCCAGTGCACAGGTTGCTGTCATTTCTTACAGCAGAGCTCTGCTGCTGCTCTTCCCAACTATCACTCATTGATGCATTCTTACTCGTGTGAAAACAGTTCCTGAATATTTGTGTTGCGGCATTCTCAGTTGTGTGTTGCCATAGCAACCTACTTGTCAGTTGATCACTTCATCTCAGCCTGTGCAACTTTTATTTGTGGTGCTAGCATGCTCAAAAGCCTTGGAAAATAATATAGATGGTCTGGAAGTCCTATTAGGTTGAAACATTTCGCTGCTCATCAAAGTACTGTAGCTTCCTCAGTCTGAGGAGAGTTGGTAGAAGATCCCTGATACATCCTCCACATTGGTTTCACTTTCCCCTAGTCTGAAGAGGCTCCTTAGAAGGACAAAGGGCTAGGGGATAATCCCACTTCTATAGTCCTCCTCCACCCATTGTCATGGGCCCTTAACAGTCATTAACAGTGGTTTTTCTGGTATGAGTGATCTTTCTGGGGACGGATGAAAGGGCAGCATGATAAATAGGAGACACATTGTATCTAAGATTGTATCCACCCCTGTTGAGTGAGGGATTTTCTATATGCACATGTATGGCCTCCCTGACCCCTTTCTCAAACCACCTCCATCCAAAATGAGTACATCTTAGTCATCAAAGTATTAAAAGTATTCAGACCAGGGGGAAGTGAAACCAGTGTGGAGGATAGATCAGTGGTCTTCCTCCAATGCTCCTCAGACCGAAGAAGCTACTTGGATGAGTAGCAAAACATTTCAACCTAGTAAGAAAGAAGTCCAGTTGCCATGTCTCACCTTCCAGATAACCTTGCCTGGATGACTGAGAATCTTCACAGAAATATAGATAATTGGTACCTCTATGTTAAGAAGATACCACCTGTGTATCCTGCTTGGTTACTTCCAGGGCAGGAATTGCGAACACCTGAATGATACTTTTTTCACCTGGAAAAATAGGAAGTGTGGGAAAAATCTGGTGATGGATGAATGGAGAGTGATTCTATATATATTTTCTTAGTGAATAAAAGATTTATTAATGCAATGGCCAGAATCCTATTACAACTTTATACTGGCATAAATATAAATTAAGATGGTGAACTCATGCTAATTAACAAGTTGCAATGTCAGGGCTTGAAATATTGTATGAAGAAAGTGTTAAAATAATTAAGGGAAGTGTAAAAATATAACCCTGAAAATGTACATTGTGTTTTAAAAATGAAATTTGACCAACAGTGTGCTAAAAGTCATTGCATGACAATTAGCTAACTCTCCATCCAAGGCCATCACAGGGAAAGTGTGGTCAATAAAAAACAACATTGCCTCACAAAGTAATTAACTTGATATCTTACTGGGTCTTTCCCAACAAGCTAACACTTGAGTGCGGGCATGTAAGCACTGATAAGAAAACATTGAGAAAAGCCTAGATCATGAAACCCCTAGAGTGCTATAATGCAAGTATAGCAAATTGGTACCTCACCAAATTCATCTACCAGCAATTTATACGCCTGACAGTTTGCTGGGGTGGCTGGTGTTCAAGGGAACTACTCAAAATATAGGGAGTATCTTGCCGTGATGGCAGTTTGCTGTCTTCACAGTTTGGCGAGAGTGCAGGTTAATACTGGGTTAGCCAGAAGTAATGAAGACTTCCACAGAAATTCGCCTTTGGAATAACTTACCTCCTGGCATTCGCGGAGCTCCCTCGCTGGGCACCTTTAAGAACCTATTAAAGACTTGGATGTTTCGGCAGGCCTTCTCTCCAGATTACTTTTGATTTTCTTCTCTCCTTTATTGTTTCCCTATTTTTAATTGTTGTTGTAATTATGCTGTTTTATGTTATTGTATTTTATCTCTGTTG